GGAAGAGATCAGGCCATCAGGAAGTCGTCTCGTGATGACTACAATTTGATTATCGAACACCCTATCAGTAGTTTTCAGAATTCAGTTTAAGTCTGAAAGCAGAATCAGATGGGTGGAATCACCAAGCACATGAAAACCCTGCGGCTGCTCTAGAATATAAATATTAAAGCCGTTCACATAGAACGGGTCCATTTCGCTATCAGATATGCCGATCACCCAAATACTATCTCTATTACCAATCTAGGAGGGCGGAAGTGGTGTAGTGACAAGTGGCACGCTTACCACGCGAGCGGTCCGGGGATCAAATCCTGGGTCGTGAGTCGCCCGGGCCAACCAAGCCTTCCATCCCTCCGGGGTCGGTTAATTGGTACCAGACTTGTCTGGGAGGATAAAAACACTGACTTGTACATCGGCTGGCCCCCGCAAGCCATCCCAAGACGGGGTTGATCAACGGCAAAAGCTTTACCCTTATCCTTTTTACCAATCTAGGAAGACGCTCCGTGCTAATAATCTCATGGATATAATATCTGGTGTCGAAGTTGACAAAAGCAGGCGGTACTGACTCATTATGAAGTGGAACGGTAAAGAAGATAAGAGCACTTAGCAAGCGCCTTATTGCGCACTTCCACTTCGAATGGGAAAAATTATCGAGAATTCTGGAACAAGCAACGTACGAGATCGAAGATCGTCGCCAGCGATCTCGCATTGCCAATACCAAGAGCAGCCGCTTGCTCCAGGCGGTGATACTCTGGATTGTTAACAGGTGCACTGCGCAACCGCTTGCAACCATGACGGGTTGTTGACTGCTCGGGAAAGAGGCGTATCCTGGAAAGGAACGAAAAATGACATCTATAACGTAACAATGTTATGATTGTCTCTCTAATTATAAGACCAGTCGCATCGCCCGGCTACGCCGGGCTCTGCTCCTTCTTGGTGTCGGAATGCCCAGCGTAGCCAGGCGATGCGACTGGTTTGGGCATTTCTTCAATTCGCACACGTCGTATAGCAAGTATTGATTGGGTACTGTGGAAATTCCTTCGGGTCACGTGCTACCGATCGATATCGATTGAAAATATCGGTTTTTGCGCAGAGGGCTCCGTTGGGGTTGGAATCGCAGTATTGATTGGGGCTGTGGTAAAAGTCGAAATTCTTCGGGTCACATGCTATCGATCGATATCGATTGAAAATATCGGTTTTTGCGCAGAGGGCTCGAATGGGGTCGGGAATCGCAGTATTGATTGGGTGCTGTAGTAAAGTGGAAATACCTTCGAGTCACATGCTAATTCGATACGATTACATGACTACTTGAACTCTCCCCTATGTTCTCTGCCGAGAAAGGCCAGAGCACAGACGATTAGAGAACGGTGCCTGGCTCGGCTCCAAATCCCAACCAAGAAGGTGAGAGCTCTAGGACTAAGCCTTGGAGGGAGGAGGGACTCCGGAGTGGGTGAGCCAATTATATTGTGGCAAAGTTTGAATACATAAGATCACAGTAATCATAAAGCGCTGGTTAAGCGAGAGAGCGCAGGCGAGAGCGTCAAATCGAGGCGGTTTGAAGGGCCGGGTTCAAGTTGTCCGTAGACCATTTGATACGCCTACTGACTGGGCGCCATTCTCTGCGGGACCCACTGCCTCCATCCACAGTGAATCCTTGAGAATTCTAAGCGTTTGAATTCATTCCATCTACAATTTCCTCAGTGCGGAGCGGGGAATCCGTGAGCCAGGGGGAGTGTAGCCAGTCTAGGGGGTGGGGGTGAGGGCAGTCACTTGACATGCGTGAAAAGCTGGAATGTTCGAGTTTACACTATTTCGCTTGAGAGAGCGCCAGGCGCAGACTGAAGCGTCGTCACGTGGTCCCAACCCCAACCCACTTTGCACAAAAAACCGAGTCACAGAGGGTTGGAAAAATGATGAGGCTAGCAAGTGGCTCTGGAAGAATGGCAGAGGAACATCAGGGAGCTCTCGTAATGGAAGTGTCGTTTGAAATGCGAGTGTTGTGAAACTGAATTCCCTTTATCCCCACACCATTAATTTTTTTTTTGCTCAATGTGGCTTAGGGGAATGGAGGGGGGGGGGGTTGCAGTCGCCGCCGCGGCGCGCATGGCATGTTCGAACATAGTGAAGCTCGGCATCCTCCAAGGCTTTTTCACGACATCTTCAACGTGACGCGCCCTCACCCACCGAAGCCCCCTGAATTTGCCCACCATTCCGCCCCCTGGCTCACGTCATTTCCCAGCTCCGCACTGAGGAAACTGTAGCTGGCAATGAATTTAAACGCTCAGGATTTTTAAAGATTCGCTGTGGGTGGCGGCAGCGGGTCCCGCAACGAATGGCGACCTTTAAAAGTTCTCCCACCCTCCTACTCTCAACCTTATTGGAACTCTCTGCGCAAAAATCGGTATTTCCTGGTCGACGTATTCGCGATCGACATCATGAAACCCGACGAAGTTATTTATTCTGACCACGGCGCAATGTGGCTTGGGGGGGACAGTCGCACTCGAGGCACGTGTGGCAGCAGGAAATTCGCGAGGCCAGGGGGAATGTAGCCAATTCAGGGGGCTCGGGGGTGAGGGCAGTCACTTGACCGTGAGAAGCTAGAATGTTCGAGATGACACTACTTCGCTAAGCTGCGAGGCCACTGCCCCCCTCCTCCGACCTTATTCGAGCCTTCTGCTCAAAAACCGGCATTTTCCTATGATATCGATCGACATCATGTATCCCGATGAAATTTTTACTCTGACCACGGCGGAATGTGGCTTGGGGGGGGGGGGACAGTCGCACTCGAGGCACGTGTGGCAGCAGGAAATTCGCGAGCCAGGGGGAATGTAGCCAATTCAGGGGGGTCGGGGGTGAGGGCAGTCACTTGACATGCGTGAGAAGCTAGAATGTTCGAGATGACACTACTTCGCTAAGCTGCGGAGGCCACTGCCCCCCTCCGACCTTATTCGAGCCTTCTGCTCAAAAACCGGCATTTTCTATGGATATCGATCGACATCATGTAACCCGATGAAATTTTTATTCTGACCACGGCGCAATGTGGCTTGGGGGGACAGTCGCACTCGAGGCACGTGTGGCAGCAGGAAATTCGCGGGCCAGGGGGAATGTGGCCAATCCAGGGGGGTCGGGGGTGAGGGCAGTCACTTGACATGCGTGAGAAGCTAGAATGTTCGAGATGACACTACTTCGCTAAGCTGCGGAGGCCACTGCCCCCCTTCGCGACCTTATTCGAGCCTTCTGCTCAAAAACCGGCATTTTCTATGGATATCGATCGACATCATGTAACCCGATGAAATTTTTATTCTGACCACGGCGCAATGTGGCTTGGGGGACAGTCGCACTCGAGGCACGTGTGGCAGCAGGAAATTCGCGGGCCAGGGGGAATGTGGCCAATCCAGGGGGGTCGGGGGTGAGGGCAGTCACTTGACATGCGTGAGAAGCTAGAATGTTCGAGATGACACTACTTCGCTAAGCTGCGGAGGCCACTGCCCCCCTCCGACCTTATTCGAGCCTTCTGCTCAAAAACCGGCATTTTCTATGGATATCGATCGACATCATGTATCCCGATGAAATTTTATTCTGACCACGGCGCAATGTGGCTTGGGGGGAGACAGTCGCACTCGAGGCACGTGTGGCAGCAGGAAATTCGCGGGCCAGGGGGAATGTGGCCAATCCAGGGGGTCGGGGGTGAGGGCAGTCACTTGACATGCGTGAGAAGCTAGAATGTTCGAATTCACACTATTCCGCTTGAGAGAGCGCTAGGCGCAGACTGAAGCGTCGTCACGTGGTCCCAACCCCAACCCACTTTGCACAAAAAACCGAGTCACAGAGGGTTGGAAAAATGATGAGGCTAGCAAGTGGCTCTGGAAGAATGGAATGGCAGAGGAACATCAGGGAGCTCCTCGTAATGGAAGTGTCGTTTGAAATGCGAGTGTTGTGAAACTGAATTCCAATTTATCCCCACACCACCGTTATTTTTTTTTGCTCAATGTGGCTTAGGGGAATGGAGGGGGGGTTGCAGTCGCCGCCGCGGCGCATGGCATGTTCGACATAGTGGAAGCTCGAACATTCCAGCTTTTCACGCATGTCAAGTGACTGCCCTCACCCCCGACCCCCCTGAATTTGCCACATTCCCCCTGGCTCACGGATTCCCGCTCCGCACTGAGGAAACTGTAGCTGGCAATGAATTTAAACGCTCAGGATTTTTAGGGATTCGCTGTGGGTGGCGGCAGCGGGTCCCGCAACGAATGGCGACCTTTAAAAGTTCTCCCACCCTCCTACTCTCAACCTTATTGGAGCTCTCTGCGCAAAAACCGATATTTTCGATCGATATCGATCGATGGCATGTCACCCGAAGGAATTTCCACTCTTCCTATAGCACCCAGCCAATACTGCGATTTCTAGCCCTAACGGAGCCCTCTGCGCAAAAATCGATATTTTCGATCGATATCGATCGATGGCATGTCACCCGAAGGAATTTCCACACTTCCTATAGCACCCAGCCAATACTGCGATTTCTAGCCCTAACGGAGCCCTCTGCGCAAAAACCGATATTTTCGATCGATATCGATCGATGGCATGTCACCCGAAGGAATTTCCACTCTTCCTATAGCACCCAGCCAATACTGCGATTTCTAGCCCTAACGGAGCCCTCTGCGCAAAAATCGATATTTTCGATCGATATCGATCGATGGCATGTGACCCGATGAAATTCTGCTTTGACCACTGTCCGCCAATCAATAATACTGTCATTCCCAGCCTCCTTCGAGCCCTCTGCGCAAAAACCGATATTTTCGATCGATATCGATCGATGGCATGTCACCCGAAGAGAATTTCCACTCTTCCTATAGCACCCAGCCCAATACTGCGATTTCTAGCCCTAACGGAGCCCTCTGCGCACAAAAACCCGATATTTTCGATCGATATCGATCGATGGCATGTGACCCGATGGATTTTCCACTTTTACTACAGCAACCAATCAATACTGTGATTCCCAGCCTCCTTCGAGCCCTCTGCGCAAAAACCGATATTTTCGATCGATATCGATCGATGGCATGTGACCCGATGAAATTTCCACTTTTACTACAGCAACCAATCAATACTGTAATTCCCAGCCTCCTTCGAGCCCTCTGCGCAAAAACCGATATTTTCGATCGATATCGATCGATGGCATGTGACCCGATGAAATTTCCACTTTTACTACAGCAACCAATCAATACTGTGATTCCCAGCCTCCTTCGAGCCCTCTGCGCAAAAACCGATATTTTCGATCGATATCGATCGATGGCATGTGACCCGATGAGAATTTCCACTTTTACTACAGCAACCAATCAATACTGTGATTCCCAGCCTCCTTCGAGCCCTCTGCGCAAAAAACCGATATTTTCGATCGATATCGATCGATGGCATGTGACCCGATGAGATTTCCACTTTTACTACAGCAACCAATCAATACTGTGATTCCCAGCCTCCTTCGAGCCCTCTGCGCAAAAACCGATATTTTCGATCGATATCGATCGATGGCATGTGACCCGATGGATTTCCACTTTTACTACAGCAACCAATCAATACTGTGATTCCCAGCCTCCTTCGAGCCCTCTGCGCAAAAACCGATATTTTCGATCGATATCGATCGATGGCATGTGACCCGATGAAATTTCCACTTTTACTACAGCAACCAATCAATACTGATTCCCAGCCTCCTTCGAGCCCTCTGCGCAAAAACCGATATTTTCGATCGATATCGATCGATGGCATGTGACCCGATGAGAATTTCCACTTTTACTACAGCAACCAATCAATACTGTGATTCCCAGCCTCCTTCGAGCCCTCTGCGCAAAAACCGATATTTTCGATCGATATCGATCGATGGCATGTGACCCGATGAATTTCCACTTTTACTACAGCAACCAATCAATACTGTGATTCCCAGCCTCCTTCGAGCCCTCTGCGCAAAAACCGATATTTTCGATCGATATCGATCGATGGCATGTGACCCGATGAGAATTTCAACTTTTACTACAGCACCAATCAATACTGTGTGATTCCCAGCCTCCTTCGAGCCCTCTGCGCAAAAACCGATATTTTCGATCGATATCGATCGATGGCATGTGACCCGATGAATTTCACTTTTACTACAGCAACCAATCAATACTGTGATTCCCAGCCTCATTCGAGCCCTCTGCGCAAAAACCGATATTTTCGATCGATATCGATCGATGGCATGTGACCCGATGAAATTCCGACTTCGATCACTTCCCCGATCAATACTATGATTTCCCACCTTATTTGAGCCCTCTGCCTAGAGACGGATGCTTTCAACAGGGAGTTCGGCCTAAGCCCCGCCCCGCCGGTTACAAACAGACAGACACATATGCGACCCAAAACTTACGTTATTATATATAATGATTTGTGAGTCATTGAGCTCATTACTTCCTTCATCACGCTCCAGCCATCACGTCCGTGTCCTCCCATTGTAAAGTTGAATGCGTGCGTATCCGAATAGTCTGAAGGCATAAAAATCTTGTCATATCACACGTGAGTCAAAGTTTCCTTTCGGGATACGCCACAGGCATTCATTCCCACCTAATCATGAGTGAACATTTTGAATGTGTGTCGCACTCAAACCACCCTGCGCCGCCTCAACCGATGCTCTATCGCTCCCGGCGCTAATGCCCCCTAACAAGTACTCGCTTACAACTCACCGACGCCTGAAGAGTGAAAGCCTGGTTTGTTCTGGACGGCAACACGTCTAACGATTCGACCTCTCGTGGCCGCCGTCCCGCGTAATAGATGCGCCCCGTGCACTACACCCATCCCCCTCCACCGCCGTAGGTCCCTGATTAGTGCCAAAAAAGTACCGCACAGAATGCCGGATTCAACCGCACTAACCATAATTTTCAACTTAATGATCTATCGAAACACATTTCACACTGCGAGTCTCAGCCATCCCAATGCAAGCTATAGTTGACAAAATGAAATAATGGCGTAATCTTTAAAGGTCTATTTGATCAGCCACAATTGTTCACATGATGCTATGCTGTATGAAAAAACTCGGTACCGCACGTGCGGAACTCGGTTAGCGCCCCCTCATGTACGCGGAACAACAAAATACACAGGCACACATAAACAAACAAACAAGAAACAAACAACAAAATGAGTAACGGCTCAACTGTTTTGTTGTTCATATTTCAGGTATCCAACAGATGAACACCTTTTCGATTCGGGTTTGATGACCAAAGAAGAGTTGGCGTTATTCAAAACAATCCACGTAAACCGATAGTCCGATCCCCGCGAGTAAACGTTATTTTTCGACTGGCACAAAAAGCCAAACAATACTAAGAAACCTCATACAACGACAAACAAGGTGGGCTTGAAGCATTTTAAGTGGAGCTTTTCATTGGTTTATATGAGGACGAAAGATTGGAATGCTAAGGTGTTTCTTCAAAAATTAGGCTAAATTAGCTCCCGTCAAAGACAGCGCTATGGGAAATTAAAGAGGAAGAGAAAGTCGAAAAAATAGGACTAAAAAACCTTAGTAGCCCAGCCGTGGTGACGAGAGAAAACAGCGCATGTGCGAGGCAGAGGGAAAAATTAGGGACGATTGCGTATACATGAAGGGTGTGCAGACGCCGCGCCATTGGAGGGACTGTATAAAGAATTAGTCACCGCAAACACCACAATGTGCATTCCGATAGCGTTGTTTGCCCCTCTCACACACCATCGCTACGAGATGAGACGCCACCTGCGCCTGGAAAAGATGCACTCCCAGGAGGGCCGCCGCGCCGGAACAGCGCGGACATCGCATCCACGGACACCCTCCGCCGCGCCAGCCCCCCCCCCTGTTGGCGTGACTATAGGGATTTCGCGTCAAGTTAAATAGAGTGTCCCATTGCACGTCCTTCATCGCACACCGCACGCGCTGCAACTCGTCCGCCGACTCTGCCTTCTTGCCTGCGCGACGGGCCTCCTGGGGGGTACCCGAATAAATTATGGTCTCGCTAACACGCCATCATGAATATTCCTGTCAATTAATTCCATGAATAGTAATATTATGTCCTTCGTACGGAACAGTCGGGTAGGTTCCTACTCTGGCATTGATTTTAACGTGCGATTCGTGGCGTAACCTAACAAGGGCCTACCACTCGCTTCATTCCTTGCATCTGTCTAGTTCTGCTTACAAATCAGCTTACTGCTGTCTCTTCAGAAATGGTTTGTGCCAATCAATTGGATTCAAACGATGATGGTCCGTTGTTTCGAGAAAGGAACTCTGGGTCATACAAACGAACTACGTGTACTGTTGGACGCCCTTGAAAAGTATCGAAACGGTTTTTTCCAGTTGTTTATTTATGATTGGATCGCCATTCCACTGGTGTACACTCAGGTTTGTGCCATTCGTTTCAGCATGTTCACTAATCACATACGTTTTTCATATCGTCACTGCAAATACTACTCGCCCAATTAGAGACTTTCCGGCGTCGTTTCGCGCGACTTTTTCTGTATGATTGGATCGTGATTCCACTCGTGTACACCCAGGTGCGTCGCGTGCCTCCTCCCTCTTGTCAACGCCCACGCACGTATCACCTTTGTCCCTATGTTGTCTCATGTGGCCAAGTGCGACCTATGTCCCTTGCCACAGCAAAATGGGCGTCTCAGCGACTGGGGCATGACTTGAATTGCTTTCATATTTCACACCTACGCATAATGCAAAAAGCGCCAGTAAAGAATGTTGGCGCACGGCTTTAAGCGCGCACTAAGGAGTGCCTCATCGTCCGAACCTCGGTCTCTCCAATTATGTGTCAGCAGCGAATGCTGACGCACGATGTTTAGCGCACAGTCAGGGGTGCATCTTTAATCAAGCGCAAGTCTCTCCTATCATGCGCCAGCATTTTACATTAGCACTTTTTCGCACTTTCGCACTATCCGCACCGGTGCAAAGTACGAAAGTAGCGTCAGCCCTTTTTTTTGCTACTCGAACTTTTTCCACCGTGCTTCTTCCCGCCAAATAAGCTACTTTGTTCCCAAGTACGTAAAGTGTTATGCATTTCACGGCGCAAATTGAAAAAAGTCAGGCGATCGAATGCTCTCCATGGTTCGGGGTCATAGAAATAAATAACGGAGATAAGTTGTGATTTCCGAATTTGTTTCAGAAAATGAAGTAGAAACGAAGTGATGGAAGCGGAAGCATTATTTGGAGATCCTTCGCCTAGTCCATTTCCACCCAGCTCAGTACTCAAACCAAAACAGATGCAGATATGATGCTCTCCAATACTATGCCGCGCGCGCGTTTCCGCGTTTGCCACGTCGTGCTAACGTGGATCTCTTGACCCAGGACCTGCTCATGTTTCGAAAGTTACTTGGCCTAATGGTAGCGCGCACAGGTCGGTTGATCGAAGGTTTCCGCTTAGCCTAGGACTGGTGGAGATACAGACACAGAAGGATGACACGACTATAAATGAGAGCTGGCGAGAGTGCAAGAAGTTCCTTCATAAAAACTTGTATGTTGCGCAAACGATCCGCGCGGCGGTTACTTGACAGCGGTTAACCAACGTGTGCGAGTCCAGACAGAAAAGCACATTCTGGGACTAAGCCTTTCGAAGGAAGGAAAGAAAGCAGAGATGCTGTAATAGTGTGCATGTGCGAGAGTCCCAGAGAACACTACAAAACGCTGAATCACCAAGCCTTTCCGGTTGACCATTGCCCTTAAACGTCGCGCGCACGGGGCACAGCCCAAATGTCGCACTGTGACTTATGGTGACCATTCAAATAGGCGTCGTCATGTACTAGTTCAAACTAATTTCATATAATACTTTACTCACTAACTGTGTCGGCAATTAACACTTTTCGTGCATGTTCTTAGCGATTGTAGTCCAGTGTCCGGAGGCTTCGCATCGCACCTTTACGGTCTATGGGATGGAATCACGCCCACTAATCCCAATCCGATATATCCACGTAGACACCGCGTTATGTGCTGTGACTAAAAAGTGGCACGCGGTCGCAGCGGTTAAGGCGAGACTTGGTGCTCATATCACTTGCTTTCGATTTATGACGATGTTATAGTTTCTGGTACCATTGGAACCCCAGCACTTCACTCATAAGAGAATTGCTTGAAGTGTCTCTCGTGGGCTGTCGCCGGCCTCTTTGAGTCGCTCGATAGCCATGTAACTCCAGAGCCTTCGCCGTTTCGAAAACCGCGTGTAATATGGCTCCTACGGGTTTTGAAAGAATCCAACTTATACTCGCGTTACGCTTTATGGACGCCTTCTACGCCATTCTCTCCCTAGCGCCTATCGTAGGCGATCTTGACTCAGTAAACTTGGCGGTTATTCAGAACTACCTGCCACCAGTAGCGGCAACCTTCAGAACTGCAAAGTGGATTGCTCTTTTTTCGACCCCATTAACTATTTATTGTCCAAGAATTGAGATCGATTGTTTTCGAAGGGAGGAAAGGATTCGATTTGTTGCGCTAACTGCAGTGTAACAAAAGACATCTGTGCTTTTCTTTTGCAATCAGCTGAGAGCTTTGACGTCATTGGGGTGCTATTTTCATCGCAGCGTTAGGCAAAGAGAGGGATGTCGGCGATTGACCTCATTTATACCCAGATGGGGAATGCACATATGAATGAATTCATCATAGGGGATAGTATCTCAACGGTTGCCCACCTAGCTTGAAGTTGCTGCTGTTTTTGGCCTCTCTCTTGAGAATAACCATTTTTTGCAGACCTTCTGTACTTGTTCTAAAACAGAATTTTTTTCCACTTTTTATAGGTGTTTTCTATTTCCGTTTATGGATATTTTGCGTTTGCTCTCATCGGACGTCAGTTTCCAAGCCATAATCAGTACCGGGAACCAGTTGATATGTGAGTCTTTCATCTGCCACTAATCTTAAAGTTCTTTACCTTGTGAAAGTGAAACCTTTTAAGGACGAGACACGTTATTGAAGACCCTCCTTCTCTAGACAATTAGGGAAAAATACAAATGGTGGCCGAAAAAAAAACACTTTGAAACAAATACAAAATAAATAGAAAAGTGACCGATAAAATGTGTATCAGTATAAAAGAATAAAATGTTATCTATGAATCTTGGCATATTTTCGGAAAATAGAATAGTTTTAGTACTGAGCTTCCGACCAAGATTGTCAATAGCTTTATTTGGCCGACGTTTCGGTGCTTTCACCTTCTTCAGAGCCTTTAGAGATGCTGGCCAGAGAGGTCCACCTGCCACCCAAGACCAAAATACCCTTCTGCATTCCGTTCATTTCCGACGAATTGTGCGGCCATACGCTCATGTGTGAGAAAGGCTGACCTCCAAGAATGGGTGAGGGTGGTGGACATTCCATCCACAAACCTAAAAGGACAATTGGTCCGAAATCGCCTATATGATCGTGTTTGTGTGACCCCTTCCTGTGTCATATGTCCATTCGGCAGGGACGGCGATTGTATGACGTGGCACCAGGTGGACCTCTCTGGCCAGCATCTTCTAAAGGCTCTGAAGAAGGTGAAAGCACCGAAACGTCGGCCAAATAAAGCTATTGACAATCTTGGTCGGAAGCTCAGTACTAAACTATTCTATTCTGAAAATATGCCAAGATTCATGCAAAGTCGAACTTGGACACTACTTCCCATAATCGCTTTTGGTCTTACCTGATGAACCATCTCTGGTTCGTTGGGATCAGTTGTCTCCCCAGGTATTTTGTGCACAAAAATATAATGTTTCTGTCTGTGGATTCTGAGATTTCTGGAAATCTTTTTTTGTTATTTCTGATAATTTGGTGAAATATGTGAAAGCATGCGGAAATATATTTCATAAGATTGTGCCATGGTTTTTGGACATCTAGTGAATTTGTCTGTGATTCTTTCGACTTCTTTTTGCCAATATAATACTAGGAGTTAATCGTGTGTAATCTTAGGTACGTGCCTATCTTCACCATCCTTCAGTTTTTGTTTTTTGTCGGATGGCTGAAAGTCGGTGAGGATTTGATGTTCCCGTTCGGAGCTGACGACGAGGATTTTGAGTTCAACTATATCCTTGAGCGAAATTTGGAGGTAAGTCATTACTGCCTATTTAGTGGCGATGAATGAAGAGCAGATTAGACGGGAAATCATTATGAAGTGGTTGGATCACTGCCAAATGACTCACACATTTTAGATGGCTTACTTGATTGTCGATGATCTTCACAATCAAGTCCCACCGGTGTACGTTGAATCGCTTGACGACAAAGTTGAGGTGAGCGTTGCTTTATACATATATTGTAATCTATATAATAATTGAATAACTTGTATATAATTGTAATGTATAAATAAAAGTGACTCATGCTCACCCAGCCCTGATTTTTCGTGGTCTCTGAGATGTTTTGAAAGCGAATTGAACGATTTTTTTGCCGGTTTCTCCCATATTGGACACATGCCCCGCCTGCTGTGGGCGGAGTTTCTTATGACCAATATGTCTTCTTTCTAGAGGGGCGTATGCCCTATCTAGGCCCTACTTTTTCCTAGTCTTTGTGATGTTCTATGGCCAAAAAAGTGAATTTTTCCAACAAAAATGCCTATTTGGACGCATGCCCCGCCTACTGTATTGTGCCCTATTTCTCCCTGGCCTTTGGGATGTTCAGGAAACGCTAACATTAACTTTTCAGCGAAATTTCATTTTGGACGCACGCCCCGCCCACTGTGAGGCGGAGTTTAGCATGGCCAATATATTCCCCTTATAGAGCGACTCATACTCTACCCATTCCAAACTTGACCCGCCCTCCCTAGGTGATTTTTGAAGGAAGAATTATAAACATGTGGGGGACACTTGCGAATTTTTGGGGAGCGGTCAGACAAACAAACTCTGGTTTATATATTAGTATGATACATAAGGTACTATAATGAGGCTGGGGCACATAGGCTTTGATGTCAAAATTACTGCCTCTTGTGGTGACTGACCAGTGTAGCATAGTGAAGGTCAGGACGGGGTCGGATGTGTTTCACTAGGCCAAAAACCGACTTTTCACTTCTCGCAGCGCAAAAGTTTTATCGCTGCGGAAACCCCAGGTCTACCCTGATCAGGAATGGAC